AGGGACTACACTACTTTTTTTATTTATTCATTAGTGACTTGTTCATTCACTCGGCTAGCCATGTCATGCAGAAACAACCCTGAAACCAATAATTATGTTATAAACTACCTTTTGTTAAAAGGGTTCGCCTGGATTCACTTCAGCGTGAGTAGCACTGAGAATACAAAAAAAAAAAATATCCTGATGCTCAAACTACGTTATATTCCCAAGTGCTGGGTGTCATCCAGAAAACTAATCTAATCATAGAAGAATGTTTTCATGCAAAGATTGAAAGCAAGGATATTTTAAAAGTTCTCAGGAGTGGGATCCAAACACACTAAGCCACATAACTCACTAATGTGTAAATGTAGCTTGTTTGGATAGGACTCCACTTTGTATTATGTTAAGGACTTATGCTTCACAACTCTTTCCTAGTTATGAGACACAAAGGTCAAATTATGGTTGGTTCACACAAGAATTAATAGTCTTCTGGTACTTATTGACATCCAGCTTGATGTAGTAATCATGATTTAATGTGTACTCAAGGGATTATGGTTTCTTTTGTAAAAAGAAGTAAAGAAAGCCATGGCTTTGCATGTTGTTATGCAAATATTTACTGCTATCTTTACTGCACTGTAAGCTTAAGAAACAGATGGGTTACTTTAGGTTTGGTACAGACCTCCACAAAATTGACCTATACAAATTGGTTTAAAAATAGATGAGGTGAACATAAGAATCTAATATGTTAAGAAAATTAACTCATGAAAATAGTGAGTTACTCAAGTTACTCAAGTAACTTAATGAAACTAATGAGTTTCATTAAATTGATTAGAGTTTGGTGATTTGGTTGCAAATGTTTCGTCCCCATTGGAAGAAACATCTTCAATCCAAAGCGCACTGAAGATGCCTCCTCGAAGGGGGATGAAACATTTGCAACCAAATTGCTAAGCTCAGAGCTCAAACCAACAACATAACAATTTAATATAGTGGTTAAAGGCACTGAACTAGAAGACTGTCAGTTGTACTCAGTGGTGGGTTGCCTCTGGTTCACACCGGTTCTAGAGAACCGGTAGTAAAACCGGCAGGAGGCTCCGCCCATCGACCCCGTCATCAAAACCTTTCTGCGCATGCGCAGAAGAGCGCGTGGCTCCACTACAAACCAGTAGTAAAGGTAAGTAGAACCCACCCCTGGTTGTACTCCTGCTTTAGGCATTAAATCAGTTGGGTGATTTTGGGTGAGTTAGTCTCTCTCAGCCCTAGGAAGAGGTTTGAAGACTTATCAAACACTATGAAACTTTTTTTTTTTTAAAGAAAAAAGAACTGAACTAACAGCTTCTCTTTCAATTAAAGATCTTAAAGGAAAATTCAGTAAGATGCAGTTCATTCAAATTATTTCTGTACAATACTGATTACTTGCGGATATCTTAATGATTTTCCCCCCATGGTATGTGGATCTTTCCCCCAGTCCCAGCTCAGAGGTTCTGGAATAAGCAATTTCTAATCTTTACAGGTGACTGTAGAGCATTTCTACCAGATTTAGTGGCCCCTCAAAAGGGCGAAGATGCTTGCTGGAAAACTTAGCTTCAGGATTGACTTTTGCATGTGGGCATTGAGCTCCCATTAACCCTAATTTTGTGGGTGTAATTTTTGTGTTCATAAATTATTTCGTCCAGTATAAACCACAGGTACTGCAAGTGGCTTCTGATGTCTAACAGCTTGTTAATTCACTCAGCAAATTACTGTTCAATTCATTGTGGTTACAGAATTACAGGCTCAATTTATCAGAGGTCAGTGCTGAAAATCAGGTGCTAAATGAGCATTGGATGGGGGCATTTTAATGGAATTAAATGTCCAGTGGAACATAGCCATTTCAGAAACCTCATCACTGATTACCACTTCATTCAGATTATCTGGAACACTGGAACTTTTTGCTCTGCTTGTTCTTTATTTCTGCCATGGGATGTAGATTTATTAATAACTAAAACTCTATTCATATCATGATACATGAAACCAGGCTAGATTTATTGAATTGTTATGTTACGGTATCTTTAAAAAAGGCTTAAATAGTCATACAATTTATAGCTATATGATGTGACTTCAAAATTAATAAATAATATTTTGAAAAAGAAAAGTCTGGGAACCTATATAAATAGAACTACTACTATTAAAAATTACCTTATTGCTCAAAAATCATTTTCTTTGCCTCTTTGTTGTAAAAAAAAAAACCCTTATTCCATTATTAACAGACAACACATATCAACAGTTCATTGCATTCAATTCAGTTACAGATTTTTTTTCTTTGAGTATTGAAGTATATTTATTTTAGCCAGTTCTCCTACTTAAAAAATCCACCATTTTTGATGTCTGCATAGATACAATATATTAGGGCAAGAGGAAAGATGAACATGCATCTTTGTGTAGATAGTATTATTTTTTATTTTATTTATTTTTATCCCATCTTTATTATTTTTTATAAATAACTCAAAGTGGGAAACGTATCTATCACGCCTTCTTCCTTCTGTTTTCCCCATCACCACAACTCGGTGAGGTGAGCTGAGAGAAAGAGAGTGACTGGCTCAAAGTCACCCAGTTGGCTTCTGTGGCTAAATGGGACTTGAACTCAGTCACCTGCTTTCTAGTCTGGTGCCTTAATTACTAGACAAAACTGTTATAATCATTGTATGTCCCATCCACGTTGACAACCCCGATGCTTGCTGCTCCAAATATAACAATAACAGCATAAATCAGAGGCATATGGGACCGTGAGGGGGAGTGCAAGTGACAAAACATGTCACAATGTACATTTCTCTATTACACTGAAATCTCATTTGCTGGCTAAGTCTAAACCATGTGATTCGATCATCCAAGCCCTGAATGGAATTTCCAACAAGATGCTTGTAACTAACCGATATTAAATATTCACTAAGATATCCAACATATTTACTTAATTATTTATTATTAAATCTGAGCACTGCTCAACTCCAAGCAACTCCCAATCGCTCATGTACAAGCCATATTTTTCCATGTAACATCATTTTAAAACTATAGGAAACTAAGTTTGCATCATTAAAAGAAACACCACTGGTTTACCAGAACAGGACATTCAAGCATATTATTCCAGAGGTTGCACAAGTAACTAATATCAATGTCATCCACTTCCTTCAGCTTTCTGTACAAAAGGGTTACTGGCTTAGAAGTCAGATTAATTTTTCCCAAACCTCTAACCATTGAGAAATACATACGCAGTAAAAGCATCTGGATCTAATCTATCAAACAATAAATACTGGATAATCTGCCAAATAATCTCCCAAGAAGCATTCTGAGGTAAATCAAAGTCATTTTCTAATCATGCAGAAGTTTTTAAAAACTGGGTCTTCACTTAATCCATCATAAGAATATTGTAGAAGGCCCAAACTACCCTCCAAGAAAAGATTTACTCACTATTTTTAAATTAAATTAAATAATCTGAGTTTTTTATGGATTACATTTTCAAAACATTTTTATTATATATAGTATTACATTAAGAGCTGATCTTAAAACAAGGATTTTAGTGGGGTCCAATAACCAGTCTTGATCCAAAGAAAAATCTGAATTTTGAAGTTCTTCATTCCATCCAGTGACAAAACTTAGTATAAATCCCCAGTGTTATGATTGAAAAAATTGAAGTCAAATCCTCCTGGATTCAGGTCTAAATGGCACCGTTTGTGTTTTATATTTGCATCTTCTTTTTCAAAAAGCCCTTTTTTCTGTCAGTGTGTTGTGATGTACTAAGAGTAACAAATGCCTGAAAGACCAACTAGTAAATATAATTGCTGGGTTCACATTATCAGATCGAGATAAAAAGGCTTATTTGCTTGTGGCAAAATGTACTCTGTAATGCCAAACAATTGCGACATCTATAACAAGCCATGGTATATACCATAATCTGTGATATTAGTCACTAGCTCTGGTGTTGCATCACTTCTAAATGTAATTATAAACTAAGTCTATTGTTGCAAACTTCATTTCCTCCAGATTTTTAAGAACACATATCTCATCATTCCCAGGTACAATTTATTTATTTATTTAGCATATGGCATACAATGTCAGGGAAATCTAAATATGCTAGACACACAATGCAGTCCTGACAGCCTAGAATGCTAGTTTATCCTATTCAGCTTTTACACGCCTATCCTTGGTGAACTATGGTGGGAGTGGGGATGGGAAAGCTAGCTTTACACTAGCTAACTAGCAGCAGGCCAGCAGGGACTTGTACCCGTGCGCACCAGCACGCCCCTCACACAAGTCAAAGCTGTTCACATGTGTGTTGGCCCACAACTTGCGCAAGGGTTGTATGCATGCGCACACGCTGGCCCACTGCTCATGCAGTCCAGTTACCCTCTCCCCCTCCCCAGCCAGGCTCTCCCCCTCTCCAGCCAGGCCCCAGCCAGGCCCCCTCCCCAGCCAGGCCCCAAAGGTTGGGGATTGCTGCTCTAGAACATGTCAGAGTTAAGAATAGTTCTTATCAGATCCACTTGAGACCTGTGGCTGTTGTCAATTTGTATAAAAACCAGAAAAACATGGGAGACATTAGCCCCTCAGGAATTACCAGCATCATTTTAATATTCCTGCATTCCTTCACAGCAGCTGTGCTGTCTGCTTCTATTCTCAACTAAGCAGGAACAGAGGTAGAAAGGTTAGATCATTGCATGCTGGAATTTGAAAATGTCACCCTTGAACTGATAATGCTAGCGGTGCAACTTCACCATCTATCAATTTGAAGGTCATTTGGTAGAAAGAAAAATCAGGGTGGGATCTTCTCCCTAACATCCTTTGGGGGAAGTGATTGCAGGGAGGGAAAAGATGCTACGAAAATGGTACCCAGGTATAGTGTAGAAGGGCAATTGTGGACACGGTGTTAAAAGTTGCTTTCATAAGTATTTGAATCTTGTTTCAAGCCTTTGGGTATTATTACCTTAAGGTCATTTTGGTGTACAAATAGCCAAGCGCAATAAAAAAATGATTTGTGTGAAAATTAGGGCTTGCTTTGAAGGCAATACTTTTTAATTCTTCCAATCTGTTCCGGGAAAAAGAGTTGGATTTTGGAGACAATATAAATATGACCACTATGACATGGATCGATAAGTTTTGATCAGGAATGTTCTGTCTATCAGGGTGACATGGCATGCAAGACATGAGCAAGGAATGGATTGGGCCAGGGCCTACAATAGCAGTGAAAGGAGACACATATCTTTCTCTCATTTTTTTCTCTCTTTCAGATTTCCTTTTTGATTTCTCATTCATTGTGACTTGTCCATCTTCTCTTTTCCTGCAACAAGAGTTGGTAAACAAGAGTGCTGTCACTAGGGGGCTTTCTAATTTCTTGGTAAGATTTTGTGTAATTAGGCTGAAGCCAAATTAAATGAGTTTGAGGACTATCTGTGCCTTAAGAGTTTTAGGTGCTCATCCTTCCAGAGGCATTGGCACAATGTTGAAACAGGTTACTTTAAACTGAAGTCCCATCTTTACATCCCCTTTTGAGGTTTTTCAGAATCACGAGGAATCTTATAGCATCTGAGATCTTTGAAGGACATAGTGCAAATCTTACATATAGGCATGGGTGGGTTTTCTATGTTCAGTAGGCACTATAGAATTAAAAAAGAAAATGTGTCTATAATTTAAAAGGGGAAAATGGATGATAGATCTGATAGAAAAATAAACCAACAAAGCTCAGAAAATAAAGCAGTCAGAGAAAAAGACATTTTATGAAAATGAGGGAGGGGAAAGAATGGAACTCCAGTAATCCACAATACATTTTGGAGAAAAGCTGTGAAAGAAGAGGATATTACTGGAGATGTGATCACTACATACATAATACATAATATATACAGAACATACGTACATAGTCACTGTTTGTATGCATGCATGCATAATTTTGTTAAGCATAAATTATAAACATTTTAAACAAAGGAAGCATGAGGGATTCATCCCTCACCTGTTCCATGTAAATAAACACTTCATTGGACATTAATAGAACTGGCATATTTGTAATGCAAATGTGTGTAAATGATTATTTAAAACAGTTCTTCTCCAAACTCCTTGGGACTGAAAGAACCAACTGTTTTTGGAAATATATTTCCCAAATTGTCATGTTGAGGAATTCTATGAAAATGACAGCACTATCTTTTTTTCTGATAGTTTTCCCTCAAATAAGTTAATCCTAAAAGTTGTTTGAATCTGTGTATTATTTCAGGGACCAGGCATTTAAAGTCTATGTGGGCAGAAATTATGGAGAGCCAGAAGTGTGGGAAGGCCAGCTGGTTTTTCTATAAAACAGCAGTTGGAGACCCCCACACATGAATGAAAAACAACATCCAAAAGAGTGACTATAAACATTTTTGTTCTCTAATTTTGATCTTGTTTTAGGCACACATAGAAACACAAGGTTCTGAAAGAGGCCATCAACATAGCAGCCATTAGATAGATTAATGTAGCGTGTAGGATTAAGGCCAATATTTTTAATCATGATATTCATGGAAAAAATACACTATATTAATTTTAACTTTTCAGATCAATTTCTAGGGAGGACCCATTTATAGGTAGCTGAAAAAACAGAACTACAGAACACAACTGGTGGCCATTTACAGTTCATCACTCAAGTCATTAAAATACCTCATTAATAAACTACAACATATACTGGATAAAAATACCAGAGTTTCTCATGGTCTTTATATACAGACCATCACACAACCTGGAACCAATACTCACACGCGACAAGAAATGGTGGTATAATAATAGGAATCCTGAGGTAAACTTGATATCTACTTTGTCTCAACAATGTCATAGACTGAAACAACTTTATACACAAGATTAGAGGCACCTTCATATATGTTCCTTCTTCAATATGATATATAGGTATTCCTTACTTAATGATGATTCATTCAGTGTTTAAAGTTACGACAGCACTGAATGAGGGGTAGTTATGGTACTTTCTTGTAGTTGTAGCTGTCTTTGTGGTCATGTGATCACAATTCAGGTGCTCAATGACCAACTCACAATTCATTGTTGCAGCATTTTGTGGTTACGTGATCACTATTTGCACCCTTCACTCTGGCTTGCAGAGCCACTCAGTTTTGCCACATTACAACTGAGGTTTTCCCCATGTAGACCCACACAGCCTTCACATATGAGGATAAGATATTCATGGCATTGCTTAATTCACCAGGGATGGAGATATATATAATTGGGTACCATCAGCCTCCTGATGATATCTCACCCCATGGTAAAGGATGAGCTCACCCAGGGGTCTCGTGAAAATATTAAAAAGGAGAAGAGACAGCACCCTGTGGCATCTCACATATAAGGGTTGAGGGTTAAACCTCTCCTTCCCAATCACAACCGGTTGAAATCAGTTCCAAAGAAAGGAGGCAAACCAGCACAACCCAGCATCGTGCCACACAACCTCAATCCTCTGAGCCAATCCAGAAGGATACATGGTTGATGGTATTGAAATGCTGAAAGGTCAAATAGTGCAAGGATGGATGCACTACTACCACCATCCCTCTCTAGCCAGAAGGTCATCCAAAAGCATGACTCATGCCATTTCTGTCCTATACCCAGGTCTGAATCCAGATTGAAAAGGATCCGTATATAAAAGAAAAGGTAAAATTAGATTATGTAAAAAGAAAATATATAAATGGAAATAATGAATCAATTTTTATTAAGATATTGGAAGGTATTGTTTGAGAAAATTGATAGCTATAGTAATTGGGATATTGTTTAAATATGTCTAACAATTGTAATAATTTGAACATTTTTTACTTAAGCAAAAAAGAAAAGAAAATTGAAATAGCATTATTTGAATTAAGAACTATGTCTAAATGTCAAATGTTAAATTGCTATATTTTTAAGATTAGAGATAAGATTTAAATTTGATAAATGTACTATGAGTTATTAACTGATTTAAGATTTTAGGTGGGTTAATAGAAGGGTAATTGTTTTGATTAAGGAAATAAGAGTAAACTCTTTTTAAGATGGTATTAGTTGAATATGTGACTTATTGAGAAAGATTGAGAAATAAGTATTATGGCAAAATAGAATATACAAAATTTTGTTAAAGATGACAAAAAATTTTACAAATTGATGACCGGATCAAAGCTCTGTTCTGAAAAGATGTAATTGGTATGTTTGGTTAAAAAAAAAAAAACTTTTTGCAAATAAGAAAGAAAGAAAGAAAAGGATCCATATAATCCTCTTCCCCCATGGCCCTCTGAAGCAGTTGTGCACCTTCTACATCAACTTTCCCAAGAAAGGAAGATGAGATACTGGATGAAAATTGCCCACTGTGGTAGGATGCAGTGATGGTTTCTTGAGAAGGGGACCAACCAAAACTTCTTTAAGAGATAAAGGAGTTTAGGAATTTAAAACCTGCTTAGTTTGTAAATTCTCTGTATCCTATCATCTGTCAGCAATCCCCTTCTGGATTCTATGTAGGACAAACACATCAGACTTCATACAAAAGATTCAGTGGGGGCAAGTTTAACACTGTGGCTCAAAACAAAAACAAAGAAATACCAGAGCGTTTTATTTGCTTACACATTTCAAAGTTTCAAAGAAGGAAGAAACTATGCCAACTTCATGGAGTGACAGATTATGGAACTCGGCTATATCAAAAGGCTTTAGCCTATCTCAGAAAGTCTTCACAAACACAATGAGTTTTAAATACTTTTTTTGTGTGTGTTTCTGTGTTCCTTCAGATCAGTCTTGATTGCTGATTGTCTGTCTGGATATTTGATAACATTTTCAGCAGTATTCTGCTATTGTCTTCTTCCTAGGGCTTAGAGTGATTGGCCTAAAGTCTGACTTCTTGTCTAAGGCAGGACTAGAATTCACAGTCTCCTAGTTTCAAATCTAGCACCTTTAACCACTACATCAAACTGGCTCACTTTTAACACATCCCAATCAGGGGTGGGTTCTATTTACCTTTACTACCAGTTTGCAATGGGGCTGCATGCACGTACGCACTTCTGTGCAGAAGCTTCCTGATGACATCGGGGTCGGTGGGTGGAGCCTCTTGCTGGTTTTACTACTGGTTCTTGTGAACTGGTCTGAACCAGGGGGCAACTCACCACTGATCCCAATTGCTAATTAATTAAGTACTTGAAATTTGCAATACCATCCTTTCTTCTTCTTCCCTTGCCTCATCATCTTTTCAAATGCTACATCAGTTTAACCATTCTATGCATCTTATGAAGAACGCTACTTATACTTTTTAATAATAAGCATTAGTTGGAAAAGATGTAACAGACTTCTGATTTTTATTACATTTATTTAAAAACATCATCTGCACAATAAATAAGAAATATTATTCAGGCCCAGGGTGTGTGGGTGTTGTGCATTGTCCAACTCAACTAAGAAGTCTCTAACTTGAGAGCCAACATATAATGGTAGAGATTCTTGTACTACAAGTGGGGAAGACCCAGGTTCAGATCTACTCTCAGTCATGGAAGTTCATTGTGATCAGTCGGTGTCCTAAGCCCAGCCAATCTTAAAGAGTTGAGGGAAAAAATAGGAAGAAGGAGAGCAATGCGTGGCCTCTTGAATTCTTAGAAGAAAAGCAAGATATCAATCTATTGAATAAATAAATAATAACAATAGCACTTAGACTTATATACCGCTTCATAGTGCTTTACAGCCCTCTCTAAGCAGTTTACAGAGTCAGGAAATTTTCCTCAATAATCTGGGTCCTCATTTTACTGACCTCGGAAGGATGGAAGGCTGAGTCAACCTTGAGCCGATCGGAATAGAACTGCTGGCAGTCGGCAGAATTTGGCTGCAATACTGTATTCTAACCACTGAGACGCCACCACGGCTCTTAAATATATTTCATGATGTTCAAAACAAGCTTATATAGCTGTCCACTCAATGATCTGAAGAAGGTCAGTTTCCCCATAAGAAGCAAGAAGGAAGTGCTTATTATAATAGCATTCTAATATATGCTATTATAGGCAATATTTCCTCTCCAGGGGGCTTGATAGTCATAACCAGGGTATTTTACTATATTAATCTTTCTGATATAATTTAGCCACATTCACAGATGCCTCAATAGGACAACATTTGCTGTTTGAGTGCTGTGGAATTACTGTCCATATGGCTCATGGAGGGAACCATATTGGAAAGAATGAACTCAGTATTGGTAGTCAAAGCCTAGTTTATTCCCCAGAAACACTGAAAGGGGAGCTAGAGTTTGGGAAAGAGATTTCTGATTACCATATAACTCTTGATATTTGTATTAGGCTATCCCGGAGGTGGGATTCAGCTGGTTCTGTCCGGTTTGGGTGAACTGGTAGCGGCGACTGTGGGAGGCTCCGTCCAACCGTCTGGATGTAATGCGCGAGCGCTGCGCATGTGCAGAATGCCATGTGCATGCGCAGAGGAGGCACATGCATTCACATTTGCAAACCAGTAGGGAAGGTAAGTGAATCCCACCTATGGGTATACAGTGTATTTTGTATTTTGTGGTATACAGTGCTGTACAAAACACAGAAAATGAGTGAAAGGAAGCAGGCAAAAGAAATTATAAGTAGAAGTGATGCCAAGAGTTGGGCATGGAGACAATCAAGACCTTAATCCATTGTCTGGAAATTTCAAACAACAGATCAGAACTCGTCAGTCTCTACATCCAAATCCTGGTTTCATCTCTTGAATGAAAACCCCATTAGCAAAGAAAATATACTGGACACCATAAGCTGATTATGATTAATTGCGGACCCTGACTTGGGCATTATGCAGATTTATGAACATTGGACATACTTAATTATTTATTCATCCATTCATTAAAGTGGATACACTTTATCAAGTATGAGTTCTTCAGCCAACAGCCCTATAAATTAATTAAAGGATTAAACTGCTAGCAGAAGCAATAGCCACCACTGGATTTAAAAAATAATAATTTGTTCCCTCTGCTGGTAAAGAGGATAGACTAACCCTTTTTGCTCGTGGGATTGTTTGTTTCAGAGTTGGAGTGATAGCATTATCTGCCACAGTAACTGATGAACCTTCATTGCTGTTGCCAATGATTGAGATAATAATGGGGCTGTTATCCTTTGTGACAGAAAAAAAGCATGCAGGAAATCAAAGAATGAGGAGAACAGTCAAATGTAGGCTGAATATTTATGTCTTTTTCTTTGATGGCCTGCTTGCTTCACTGGAAGTTGAAAGGTTGTCTGCTGTTCTAATAGAAAAGTGTCTCTTTTGTTGAAGTTAAATAATCTCTACAACACGAACTCTCTAGTCAGAAATAAGCATCCATGGATATAATGGAGTTTGCTCTGAGGTAACTATGCCTAAGAATGCTGTATATAAAATGTGGCTGAGTTCACATATTGTGTTAAAATAAAGCAGAAACCATTCATTGTGTAATTTGTACTATGTATATATATTTTAAGATGTCTGGCTGACTACTGATGATTGCTAAAGGCTAGAATAAACTGATTAGCATCTGATCTAGCGTGGCTTATTCAAGTTCATTATTAGAACCATAGATGCATATAGGGAAGAGGTGAAGGCTCTGGTGGACTGGTGCAATAAATGTAACCTGGTTATGAGTTCATCGTAGATTTTAGAAAGAGCCGGTATGGTCATACTCCACTCAGTATCAAGGATGTAGCTATAGAGGTGGTCAACAGTATTAAATATCTGGGGATGCAGATAACTAACAATCTGAATTGGTCTCTCCACACGTCATCCTTAGTGAAGCTTGCAAACCAGTGTCTGCATTTCCTGCATTAGATAAGGAGAGCATATCTTTCCTCTTCTGTCCTAGCCCTATTGAGAGCATTTTAACAAACTGCATCACTGTTTGGTTTGGTGGCAGCAGTGCCTCAGATAGAAAGTCCCTACAGAGAGTGGTGAGGACAGCTGAGAAGATGATAGGAAGCTCGCTTCCTGTCATTCAGGATA